GAGCTGTGCAGAAAAAGCTACTCAAGGAAGGCTTTTTCAAAATCGTCGTATTTTCAATGGAACTTTCGCCCTATAATAGGGTTAGGGTTGTGCACCAGGGTAGGGTTAGGGTTAGAAAAATGAGGTGTCCTGGTGTGTTTTTGATGGTTGGAAAGTGTTTAGAGTGGGCAGAAATGATGAGCTGTGCAGAAAAAGCTACTCAAGGAAGGCTTTTTCAAAATCGCATTATTTCCAAGGAACTTTCGCTCTATAATAGGGTTAGGGTTGTGCACCAGGGTAGGGTCAGGGTTAGAAAAATGAGGTGTCCTGGTGTGATTTTGATGGTTGGAATGTGTTTAGAGTGGGCAGAAATGATGAGCAGTGCAGAAAAAGCTACTCAAGGAAGGCTTTTTCAAAATCGCATTATTTCCAAGGAACTTTCGCCCTATAATAGGGTTAGGGTTGTGCACCAGGGTAGGGTTAGGGTTAGATAAATGAGGTGTCCTGGCATGATTTTGATGGCTGGAATGTGTTTCGAGTGGGCAGAAATGAGCAGTGCAGAAAAAGCTACTAAAGGAAGGCTTTTTCAAACTCTCCCCTTTCAGTGGCATTTTACCCCTATAATAGGGTTAGGGGAGTGCAGCAGGGCAGGGTCAGGCCAGTGGCTGCAATGACGCTGCACTCCAGGTCACTGCCTCTCACAGTGGTCTGGAGGAATCAAGTACAGGTCCTGCCATCTAGCTTGGAAACTAAAATGATGAGACCACACCAGATGTAGAATGCATGAAAAAAGATGAGGATAGAGAACAGTTTGTTATGGCCAGAACAAGGTATAAGCCAGTATCTAAATCTGATCATTTTTTTGCTTGAATGAGACTCTTGTTCCTTTGGCCAATGGATGGGGCAGCATGCTTGTGTTCTAGAAAAATCCCAGAATCATGGGTGTGGACGAGGCCTTGTAGTCCTCTCTGCTCAGTGCAGAGAATCTTCTCAGAGTATCTCCAACAGATGGCTGGCCAGCCTCTCCTTCTCTCTGTTATATTTGCAAATATAAAAAGAGGTAGAAAAAAACACAAAAAGAAAAAAAAAACCCTGTAAAACAGATCCACACCCCCATAGTTACTTACATCACAATAATTACTTAGAAGTCTAATTTTAACAACAACAACAAATAGATTAAGGACTTTCTACAGCCTCTGCTTAAAGCAAATTTAGAAGTTCAGCTCCTAAATTTTCCAAATGTGCCTGAGCTTTAACTACCCATTAACGTTTGGCCAGTTTGTGGCTACTTAGCGCTAAGGATTGCCTGTAGGGATGCTCTGTTGTTCAGTGGGAGAGTGTTCAGCCATTTGAGTGTTCTGATCTAAAATCTAAAACCATGGCAGTTGCCTGCCTGCCTGCCTGCCTGCGTGCCTGCCTTCTTTCGTCCGTCCGTCCGTCCTTTTTAAAGCTTTCCTCTAGTGGTTTTTCAGAGTGTGTTCCAGTGAAACCTGGGGTCCCTTGGAAACTTAATTGATGGGGTGTTTTTTTATTTTCATTTTTTTATTTATTAAAACATTTTTATGCCGCCCCATTCGCCGAAGCCTCGGGGCGGCTTACAACACTAAGTTACCACTAAACCACTAAGTGTTGGTTTAGAATGAGAAGACTGGTAATGCCGAACTTCCCAGAAAGGCAGCTTGACAAAACTACCTGGCAGCGGCAGGTAGCAGAGCCATCCCATGATGCAGGAGAGGAGCTGTGGTGGTGTTGCTCAGGGAGCAATGTGGGAATTTGAAGCGGTGGCATCCTAGCTGCTTTCTGCAGTTCTTAGGTAGGTCTGGGGACCCCAGCAATGTGGGGTGGGGAACTAGATGGTGCTTCTGCTGGGAGAAAACAAATTTATGGACACCTGACTGCTGTTTTCCTCCTGAGAAAGACTGGGCTGCCTCAGAGTTTGAGCAGGAGCTTGGCCAAATGCCCTCTGGTGGAACCCATCTGCCGAGGGCCCTCGGGTTTCGTAGTGAGGGCAAGCAGAAGCAGTGTGGCCATCAGCATTGGGTGGATCCACCATTTTAATTTTTCATAGTGCTCCGGAGTGACGTACAGTGCAGGAAATCAAAATGGCAGCACCAACCCTTGTCCCATGGGGCACGGCGGAGAGGGGCCCGTGCAGCAATAGGCCTTACTAGTGCCCTGGCAAGACCCTGTGGACTGGGGCAGCTCTTGGTGCAAGTGCCCAGCAATCACCACAGGCTTGTGAGGTGGCGCTTTTGAAAGGTGTGGGGAGTGGCTCTGTGGTGGTGGGGCCCCATAATCTTCTGGGCCATTTCGTAAGCAGTGCAGCAGCGGTCTTCTCCTCCGCTGAAGCGGGAGTATGCAATCACGGCTCCAGGAAACAGCGATATTGGTGACGTCAGCCATCATAGCAATTCAGTGGAATAAATGGCTGGTCAAACATTGAGAGAAGCAAATATCGATTCCCTTCCTCAGTGAAAGTGAATCAGGAAGGGCAGACCTCCTGGCTGCTTGAGAGGCGTGGTAAGTGTGGCTCTCTTGGCAGCCAGAGCTCCTCTGTTCAATGTCCTTCTGCACAGGATTCCCCCCCCCCCCCGCCCCCCACGTGACATTCTCTCAGCCCGGACGTCTTTGGCTTGCTGACCGCTCCCCCTGTTTAGTGGGTGTGGAACATGACCAGGTGGAATACCGCAATTTAAAGAAAGGTGTGCGTGTGTTGAGGGGTGCTCGATTTGAGGAAGGGCTTAGTTTATTTGGGGGGTGTGTGTGTCAGGTTGAGCATTGTCCTCAAATTCCCTCCTGGTTCAAGGGATTGGGGCTTGCGCACAGGGCCTCTTGGTTTGAGGAGGGTCTGAGCAAGCACCACCTGGTGGTCCCTCCTTTGTTAGAGCAGTCCGGCGGGCTTACCTGGCTGCAGGCCACAGCGCTCCACGGCACTCAGCTTCTGTGCGGACAATGTCCCCGACGTGTCTAGCGGCTGCTTTTATTTCCACACTCTCGCTCTGGAATATTAAAATGGCAGCTAAACCCAGCTTTGTGACGCTTGAAAGCACCAGGGAAATGTCAGCGTGCGCATGGGTGAGGGACAGCACGATCGCTATTGCTGGTGGACCTGGGGGGGAGCTGGGGTCCCAGCAGCTGGGTGGGGTGCCAAGGGTTGACCCTGGCCTTGGGAACGAGCCCCCTGAGGAGCATTTCACATGACTGCTGCCTTCACATGTCTCAGGGCTCCCGAAGAGCGGAGCCGTCCCAAGAGGGCATCCTGAGCGACCTTCTCAGACAGACTTCCCCAACCTGGTGTGCTGGATGACAACTTCATGACGGCTTCTCCCGCCGGATTCTGAGGGTTGTTCTCCAGTACATCTGGAGGGTACCAGGCAGGTGAAGGCTGCTTTAGGTCTCTTCCTCTTTGTAAATGTGACCACTTATGTACGTAAGTGTGGCCAGATAGGAGGAAACAAATCGCTCCAAAAAACACATACTGATTTCTATGTGGAGAAGTAAATTTAGAGACTATTGGGCTAATTTAAATTAAAGTCCAAGTCATCGCACCCATGGTGGGGAAACCTGCATGCCCCCTGTTGCCTGGCTTCTGATAGCTGATGGACCACCTCAGGCCCCCTCCCCGCTGCTCCTTCCTAAGCGAGACCGATGACCACCTTATCTCTAAGGTCTTCCTCTACCGAGCTGCTCTGGCTTCTCGCCCATTTCACTTTCTTTTCCCAGATCGCTGGGGAAAAGTGAAAGGCAAGCAGCCAGCTATCTATTATGGAGGGCCAGCATAGCATCCTGGACTACTCTGGGCTTCACAGTGTGGCTTTAGTGACAAGATGTAGAGCCTTTTGAGTGGCTTCCTTTATGTATTAAAGAGGTAGGGTATCTGGACAAGATTTGCGTACTACGTATTAGTATGAGATGAAAAGGAAAAAGCTAAGTGGGGCCCATGCCTGCTACTGAATCAGCATGCAGTTTGGGTTTTTGTTCCCTTTAGATCCACGAGAAGGAGGAGGAAGAGCTTAACGAGAAGAGTGAAAATGACTCTGGTATTAACGAGGAGCCTCTACTCACAGCAGATCAGGTACCTGCCCTTCCCATGGCCTTTCCCGTGTGAGAGATGGGAGATGCCTCCTTTCTACCACATAACTAGGAAAGCTGGTTGGCCTCCGCAACATGTCTGGCTGTTCACAAAGAGTTGGGCTTTGCCTTTTAGGGAACTTGCTCCTTCCCTCGCCAGGCAAACTGAGCAATTGCCTTGAGCGCACGCTCATAACAGGGGTTGGAGAACTGATAGGTTTGGGGGCATCTTGCATGCTTTCAGATGCTGCTGCCACCTGTCCAATGTTGTCCGATTCCCCCACAAAGCAAATATATGATCTGTACAGGATCGTCACTGCTTACGTTGCTAAAAGAAGACAAACCAGACGGTAACCGCAGGTGGAGGTAGGCAGGTCTAGTGCACAGGGGAGGCACATCTGGGCATCTGCCAAGGGTCCACACTCTCTCAGGGGCTGCCTGACAAGACTGCTCTGCAGATGCTGCTCGTCTTCCCATTTGCAACCTGCTTGTTTACTTGCTTTTTGGTCTGGTCCAGACAACGGTGGTGGTGAGCAGGAGTCAGAGCACTGCCTGCTTGCTTGCTCACTCTCTTTCTGCCTACCAAGCAACTAAACAAGCAACAGCCATAATGGGAAAGCAAACAAGGAGAAGTAGCAGCTGGGGACAATGACCCCGAGAAGGTAGACTCCCTGCTTGGTACAAAAACATGTGAGCATCATCTGAGATTCTATCGAAAGCAAGTGTCTGGGTTCAGGGTTCTCTAATTCTAATAGTGCTTCCAGACTTGTCCTGCCCAAGCCGCAGGCTCACTCCCTTCCTATCCCTTCTCTTCCACCCACATGGGGGGAAGGAGAAGTTCTGAAGCCTTCAGCTTTGCTTTTGTCAATTGGATCCAGAACTGTGCTTACGGTTGACTGTGGTTACTTTGAACAAACCATCTTCAGAAGTCATGGCTTGAAATTGGCTAGCTTGAAACGAATTATAGTTATGGTTAACCATGTTTTGTCAGTCTGTGCAACCTGTTAAGCAAAAGCAAATACTCCTGAGGACAAGAAAGCTAAGGGTGTCTGCAACCCTATGTGAGCATGACTCACTAAACCATGGTTTAATGTGAAGGTAGTCAAGTGTGAAAGGAGGGCTAAGGAGATCCAGGGTCAGCTCTCCGCCCAGCCATGAAACTTACTGCATGAACTTGGGCCAGTCACACATTACTGGTATCTTCTCTCACAGGGCTGTAGCATGAACATTAAACTGGGAGCAGGGAGGACCATGCAGAATAGAAAAGCAATAGGCAGACCATAAGTTTGGCTTGTTCTTTTCCTAAAGGATTGATCACAAGCCATTTCTGATATGACATTTTCAATGTTCTTAACATTGTTCTAAAAAAAGATGGGGATACCTGAAGATTCAGGGTTGTTCATTTCATTTCATTTCATTTCATTTCATTTCATTTCATGGGTGTGAGAAGAATTGATACCTTTCCACTGGAAAGGAGGGTTCTAATGTTGCATGCAAGGCTGTACCTAGGCTATGATTCTGCCCCATCACAGAATGTAGTATTGAGTGCAGATCGCAGTGTCTTAAGAATCCTAATTTTTCATATGTTTGAAAAAAAATAAAGACTGCAGTCCTCATAATTATGAAAATTTTACTGAAACTGGACAAGTGATACTTGGAGAAAACCAATGCAGTTGTTGAAGCAGAGTTTAGCAGACCTGGAGTTCAGTGCCTTACACAATTCTTTGTTTCATTTATTAACTTGTGGAGGAAGAATAAACTATGTATAATAATATGAGTGTATATAATTAGGCATAACTTAATCAATTAAAATTGTGAGGTCATACCTGGCTCACAATGCTACTTGCCATGAGAAAGGTAATATCAGAATTGGTCCCACAAAAGAGGTTGAAGAGAGGGCATGGGAGAGTAGTGGGTAGGGTGATGAAAGCTCAGGGGATGATGGGTAAGAGCAAGAGCTCAGGATCTGGAGGGAAGAACATCAGGTTTGGGGCCAAATTTGGCTCCCTTGGGAGGGCTGGTCCTTCCCTTCAAGCTTTAACAGAAATTCATACCCCTTCTCTTCTCCCCCAGCCACCAGCCAGTTCCTGGCTTTTGTACTGTTTTATTTCCATTCTAAACGTTCAAAATGCCTCTCCTAAAACATAGTTATGGGCTGGAAAAGTTTGGAACTAGACTGTGCTGGCATTGTTGACTCTACCTACTTAGGCTTTAGCACTGTCCACCATAAGAATGAGGCCCCTTCCACACATGGAATTCAGCTTCCTGTACTGTTGCTGTGGACAGTCTGTTCCCTCAAGGGATTCTGGGCACAGGGACTCTGCAACATCCCTGTACCTCCCCAGGGCCATACGCACAGAATCCTTCCCCAGGCAGCCCAAGCATCTTTGAAGCCCTGTGGAGGAAGGTGCTGCACAGAGCTACGTGTGAGGATAATAGACATAGGAACAGAGTGAGTCAGAGGGGGGTCTCCTGGGCCATCTAGTCTGACCCCCAGCTCCAGCCAGCTCTGCTCATGGCATGCCCACCATGTGCACGCCCAGCCTATCCTTAATCCCCCTCATCGATGGGGCTTCCACCACCACCTCCTCCTCCTAGACGCTCTTCCTGCAACCAACAGTGGTGTCATGCTCAGCACTCAGCCAGGCCCTGTAAGGGTGTGTTCTGCCTCCTGGGGTGGTTCCTCAAAATGGCAGATGCTCCCAGTATCAACAGCAGGGCCAAGACTCCGTGGCACAACGCATGCTTTGCACGCCAAAGCTCTCAGCCCAGTCACTTGCATCTCCAGGCACACGTCCTGATGGAAAGCGGGTCCTGTCATTGCTGGCCTGGCTGCAGCTCATGGCCTGGCTCAGCCAGAGGCCATCAGGCTGGGACAGCCAGTGACAGCGGATCATGTGAGAAACAGGTTGCCTGGGATTGTGGGGCAGATGTTGCAGACCGGCATGGACATTTACAGGGCGAAGATTGCTGGGCAAAGATGCTGCAGCTTTCTACGTTCCTAGCAAGTCTCTGGTAAAAATGGTTCTTCAGTGATGCTGCTGCGCATTGTGGCCTGATGGATCACGGCCCTCCAGAATTTCATGTCGTCTCCCTCAAACAGAACCCTTGGCCTCCAGTTCAGAGGATTGGCCTCTTCTGCCTCTCCGGTTTTGGAGTGAGCCAGTCATTAAATAGCAAGACGCTTATTCCACACTGAGAGGCTCTTTGCTGCACCTGTGAATTTCTGCTGGTTTCCATGGCAATGATACCCAATCTGTCGGGCGCTGCAGATCCCCACTGCCGCACACTCTCTATAACAGGCGTGTTCAGGCTTATTATTTTTTTAAAAGGAGAGATGGTGGCTTTGTTGACCACTCACAACCACTTTGCCTCGTTCCCCTCTAAGTTATTCTAACTCTGTAATGTATTCCAGGGAGGTTCCCGGCATGGGAAATGCTGTCACGGCCTCATTGCTTCTGAGGATGGGCTGCAGCTCTTCCCCAGGGATGCAGTACAATCCCTGCAGGATCGCTTTGTGTATACCCGAGTGATCCACCAGCAGGGGCCTGGGGTCAAGAAGCAGCGCTCAGAGACACACGAATGGCCGGCTGGGAAACCGGGTCTTGGGTAGCTGCGAAGAGGGTTTGCAGGGGTGTGCGCAAGGTTGGGTTGTCACAGCACCATGCAAGTGAAGTAATTCTCAGCACCACCTACAAGCCCCATCCTGAAAAGCCTGGAGGCTAAAGGGACTTAATCGCACCACTGCCGGGTCATCTCGGGAACGTTTTCCTCCGCGCCTTGCATTCTCTGTTGGGGTTCCCGGAGGGCACCTCTGCACTGATGTGTGTCCACAAGGTCACCTCGTGGCAGCCAGGCAGTTTAATTTCCCACAGTGGCACGGAGGGAAGCTCCGGGGGGGCAGTGTGGGAAGTGTAAATGTTCGCCTACTGCCACCAGGTGATCCTGTGGGAGGAAGCCCATGGGCTTCAGGGCAGTGGCGAGGTTGTCCTTGAGGAGCTGGGGCTGCCACTTTTCAGCATGTAACACCCCTCCTGAAGGGATTCACTGGCTGCCTATTAGCTCCTGGGCAAGTTCATGGTTTTGCTGTTGATGGATAAAAGCCTAAATGATTCGGAGCAGAATATATGAGAGAGCCCTTTCTCCCTTACTGGTTTGCCCAGCTGCAGTGGGCAAGTGGAGGGGGCGACAAACAGCAGCCCCCCAGTCTCAACTTTTAAGATTTGTATGTGGCTGCTATGAACACATTTACTTTGGGTCAACATGTTAAATATGGGCAGTGGGCTATTACATGCACAGATGCGGATGCACATAGTTATGTACCTATTCCAAAAAGGCACGCTTTTGAGGCCTTGCCTTCTGGTGCCAAGGAAATGTGCTTGTTCAAGCAGCTTGCTATCGCATATTCCTGAAATGTGTTGGGATGACACATACCTAATCCTGTCAGGGCTTTCAGTCTTGGAGGAGAGCAAGGATGAGCAGGCCTACCATGTCCAGCCCAGACTGAGGAGCCAGTCTAGAACCAGGTGGAGCCCTGTTGGGCCAGGTGGCACCCCAGGTGTGCTTTGCATCCTCTGAGTCCTGCCAGGTGGTGGCTGCAGTGCCACCTTCTGGCCACCTGTGGTGTTGCTGCAGAGCAGCAGTGCATCGTGCCAGCCACTTCATCCAACGGGCTCAGACAAGGAGGAAGGGATTAAGCTTCCCCTTGCTAAAGTCTCTGGTCTGAGAACCTGAGCAGCTTCCAGTGGGCTTTGCTGTTAAGAAAGAAGTGGCTGTTAGAATTGTGCCCTGTGCTATAATACACTGGAATTAGTGTCTCCAACAGCAGGACAAGGTAGGCACCTCCATGGTTTCTGCTTTCTCTTGGGTGTCTGCAAGAACTGTAGAAGCCCATCTGCTTCCAAAAGTGCTTTGATGTTTGAACTGATTTCTTGTCACAAGGAAGGCTGTGACTGTGTTACCACAAAATCCCCAAATAAAAGAAAACAAGCTGCATTAGCGTGGCAATGACTGGCAGTGTGCCAGGCTGAATGGAAAATTCTCAGTGCGATGACTCGAGTGGCATGAGATGCAACGGAGGGGAGGGGAGGGGCGATGGCGGAGAAACACGATCCCGAGGGCTTTGAAAATGAGCAGGGCAACGGCAGTGGGGTGACAATCGATGGGAGACGCCGCTCATATCCAGGACTTTGCCTTATGCTTTGGTTCCAGGTTTACTCATTTGTAGAGGAGACCCTTGAAGCCAGTGGGGCTTCGGTTAGGCACAATTATCTACTCTAAATATGACTTTATCTGGAACTTACCCATTTTTTTTCCATTGGCGAAGCATATGAAATGCCAGAAAAGGAGAGATGCAGCGTATTGGTGTGGGAAGAAAAAGGAATCTTAGAATAACAGCAAAAGATGGAAGCCACATTCCTTACCTTGTTTAGTTCTGTAATATGATCGTTCCTGCAATATACTTAGCCTACTTGCATGTTGGGAATGCTGCAAAGAAGAGAATGCCTCTGAACATACACAGACAATGTTTCCATTCCCAGTAAGAAAGTATCGCCAGCCTCCAAGCATCTGGCTAGAGGCAGGATTTCTGGGTGTTCCTGAGTTCGCACACTTTCCTATTTCTATTTCATTTTATTCTATATTTTATTTATCTAAAGTTTTTAGATACCATCCTTTAGCAAGAAGCTCCCTGCTTTTTGGAATAGTGAGTCAGAGCAGGACAATTTGCTTTCTTCATCATCATCGTGCAATTCACAACAAGTTAAAAACTGCACCAGGCAGAGGCCATTAGCTATTGGCCGAAAGAGCAGATCATGCCTATTCACATGAATAAACTGTATGCCTATTACAAGGTGCATCTGTTGCATCCGGTAAATGCATGCTTTGCACATTCCTTTAAAGCAGAAGTGTGCGCCTTGGAGGCTGCCTTCCCAGACCCCTGCAAGTACCCAAGATGCACCACTGCAGTGGAAGGGATTGCCCTCTTCCCTCCCTCGATTGCCTTTCTGGTGCGGCTGGCCATGGGATTGATAAGACGACCTTGCTGAAGGCCCGGGCTCCTCACAAGGACCGGGCGATGCTGAAGCCTTGCTGTGAGCCATTTCAAATCCCCACTTTGAAATGCATCTTCTAGTTCAGCCATTCTCCAGTGCATAGGAGAAGTCCCATTATGGCTGACCATTGGCCGTAATAGCTGGGGATGATGGGGTTTATAGTCTAGCACATCAAGACAGCACCTCATGGGGTAATTGTGTTCCAGTTTTTGTGATTGAATTATATAGCTGTTAATGATGATCCCTGTATATTTATTTACCTAGGTTAAGCTTAAAAATGAAATGTCTCTCAGGTTTTATGGAGGATATAACCACTAAATTTTGTGCTGGCAATTTCATAGTATTAGTTTGTTCGTTTTTTTCTGTTTAAAGCACGGATGAGAGACATCATCCTTAATGATTTGGTGCTGTATTGTTTACACAGGTAATTGAAGAAATTGAGGAGATGATGCAAAATTCCCCAGACCCTGATGAAGAAGAGGAGATTCTGGAGGAAGATGATAGTGGAGAAAACAGCAGCCAGGCTGACTCAGTCCTTCTTCAAGAGATGAAGGCTTTGTCACAAACACTCAACAACAATTGGTCCTATGAAGGTGAGAATGTCCGGAGAGGACTGAAAGAGACACTATTTCTTGACTTTATAGGTGGGGCAGCACCAGACTCCAGCAGGCCCTCAACAGATACCACTTGAACCAGGCATTACTTTAAATGTGTGTCTCACAACCAAGTCTTTTCACTTTTACTCTAAAACGTGTGCATGCCCCAGTTTGTACCCCAAAAGTTCCCTACCCCTGATCCTGGTTACAGTCCAGACTGAGGCTTCTGCAACTATTCTAGAGTAAAAATTGGAACAAAAAGGATATAACTGGAGGCACATGTCTGTTTTGGTCCTGGATATGTTAACTGGCTCTTAATCTCTATTTCAAGAGTGTCTTCTTCAAGGTTTACAGCACTGGAAATGGAGAAAGGGTTCAATGCTTTCATCCTGTACCTTTTGACCAATTGAAATCTCACCCTGCTCTGAGGTTGCTGCTGGCCCACTGGAGTATGGGAGGAAGAAAAACATCTGTATTCTGTCCCTCTCTCTCCCTGCCTCTACCAAGGCGATTACCACATTGGGGGACCAATTTTGATAATGGAAATGGTGTTGAGGGACAGATTCAGTCCTCCGCTAGCACTGCAGCCCTGATCAGAATGACCACCCCTCACTAAGCCGGGAGATCTGAGCCTATATTATCCCAGCTTGTCTTCTTTTGCTTTAAGGGTCTGCAGATGCTTCAACCTGCTGTCCCATAGGTTGTGAGTCTTTTACCTGTTCTCTGAAATGCTGGGAAACGTCCTTGTGATAGCACCATTCTGTGGAATCTTAGAACTGAGCACAGATGATGCATTTTAACATGAAAAATGTTGGTTATGCTGTACTTTAACATCAATTTATTTATTTATAGGCTACCCCATTCCTAGAGCCTGGGGTGAGTTACAGTGTTTAAAACCCAAGCCTAAGATGGCCAGGTGAAATAAAAAGACACAGTTGAGCCTCCAACCGTTGACATAGTCAAGCAGAGCCCTCAATTCTATAGGGCAAGCCAATTACAAATGGTCTTGCAGTGACTCTGAAAGAGACCTGTTTGGAATCACATCACTCCTGGAGGGAGAAGAGGCATGCTTTTGAAAGATGACTATTTGTGGATTTGGAAGGGGGTCTCCACCAATCACGCAGCACCTGCCACGTGTGCACTTCTTTCACAGCAGCATCGGCAGGTCCCCCCAAAACGTGTTCTTGTCCCCCTCTGCTAAATGCATCTTGCTCTGGATTGCATGTGCAGGCCAAAACAAACCGCAGAGTGTGGCTGGACAAGCCACTGGTGGGTGGGATTTTTGTTGCAGTGAGTCATTTCCAAGAATTCGAGGATGCACTTTGCTGTCTCAATCAGGGGTCCTCAAGCTTTTTAAATAGGGGGCCAGTCGAAAGGTTCTGGAGGTGGGCGCGGTCCGCCAAGGCGGTGCGGGCCGGTGAGGGGTCAGGGCGCACATGAGCATGGCGAGGTGGGGGAGGGGGCGGGGGCGCACGGGGCGAGGTGCTGGCTTGCTCGCAAGGAAGTTGTTTTCTCCAGGCAAGTTCAAAATGATCTCCCCACGAGCAAGCTGCGTGCCTGCGTGCGCAAGTGCAAAACCTCTGGGGTGGGCCAGTTAAATGGCATGGCGGGCAGGATCTGGCCCACAGGCTGTAGTTTGAGGACCCATGGCCTAAATGATCAACTGTGCATTCTTAGCAGAACTGTGATGGGACATGCATCTATTTATTTATTCATTTGATTTAAACCCTAACTTTCAACCAAAAATGGTGCTCAAGCCAGCTTACCAGAACAATTTTAGATTGATTAAAGCATCTGAAAATATATTAAAATAACAATTACAAAACATAAAGCTCATCCAGAGCAACAGTGCCCCATTTACAGGCAAAAGGCCTTCCCAAATAAAGCCTTCTTTGTTTGCCAGAGGAAGCCCAGTGGAGAGGGAGAGAACCGGGCCTTGCTGTGGGAACATCCACCGCCTGGGAGCAACCCCTGGAAAAGTCTTGCTCTTTTGTCCCCACCAAGGGTGCCTTGGATGGTAGTATCTTGAAAGAAAGGTCCCTCCTGAAGCTCTTAATTGCTGGGCAGGCTCTTATGGGAGAAGGCAGTCTTTCAGGTTGCCTAGTCCCAAACTGTATAAGGATTTAGAGATCATAACCAGCTCTTGGATTTCTGCCTGGAAGCAGACTGGAAGCCAGTGAAGCTGCTGCAGCAAGAGAGCTGCAGGCTTCCTGTAGCCAGAGACGGGCTGCAGCATGTAGATCGGATGAAATTCCTGAAGCATTTTCAAAGGCAGCCCCACACAGAACACCTTACAGTAATCCAGAGGAGATGCAGCCAAGGTTTGCGGGACCATGGCCAGATCAGACCACTCTGGGAACGAATGCATTGAAAGCCAGGCTCAGGACTGACTCCAGGATTACACCATGCTGAGAATCACTGGATGAAGTCCGAGAGTTCTGTCCGCTATGCTCAAGCTTCATTTAGTGTTGATCCAATTTGTGGATCTCACATACCACCAGAATCCAGCCCCAGATGTTTTCTCTGCTTGTGATAAGAGTGAGCGCTGTCATTCATGTCACGGAAGCAGCACCCTCCGTGCAGAAGAGGGGGTGAAGTTTACAGAGGAGGTAAATCACTTTAGAAAGATCTGCGGGAGGAGGAAGAATACTCCAAACACCCTGATGAGTACTGAGCTTTTCAGTGCCCAGAATGCCGATGGATTTGTTGGGTGGGAGAACAGAAAGCTGAGCCTGAGACTGGTGAGGATGTGGAAAGTGCTGAAGGAGAGCTTGACTACTTGGCAGGAACTTCGGTCAGAAGCAGGCCGCTCCGCACTGCCTTCTTGCAAGCATCTTGTTTCACTCTAATCAGAGAGAAGCTGGCTTCTGAATGTCAGACTTGCAAGGACGGTTGCAACTTTCACTGATGAGCAGAACTTAATTTAAAAGTTTTTAGTTGACAAAAGTTGCCTCTGATTACCCGAGCGGCAGATGCTCTTTTAAAAGCTATTATTTTAAATGCAAGCACACGCATATATAATAGCAGCTTGAAAGAGGCTTCCCCTTTTCTGTTAGAGGGAATGCCTCTTTGGTAACAGTTGCTACCACACCTGTATGTTATGTAAAAATAAAGAAGGCTCCTGGTCAAAGATATTGCTTCTACCCATATGCAAATTTAATTGATTCACTTGCCCTTCATAGAGTTGCAGCCTCGCCCCTGAAGCCTCAGTTTGTTGCCGGAAAAGTTTAAAGCAGTTAGGACTGCCGGATTTAGCCGTGATATAATTTGTTAGGCGAATTGATTAATTTCGATTGGCAGAAGTGCTGGGCACCCAACTTCAATTATTTTTAGAATGATTATTCTAATATGCTTATGAAACTCTGTATGACAAATTCTGTCTTAGAAGAGGCTTCCCTGTTCCTGTGAATGGAGGGGCAATAGTAAGATAGAAACTTCTTTTTGTACCAGGAGTAAGAGATTCATGGGGCAAAACCTCTTTCATGGGTATGTCTGCTGTGACAAGAGAGTGGAGTAATTGTATCAGAAATGTGTCTTTTTTATCACCTGCAAACAAATTAATGCAATCTAATTTTACCAACACAAAAATAACCAAGTAAGATTTTTTTGTTTTGTTTTTTTGGAGCAACAGCCCTTGGGGAAAAAACAACCCCGAGGAAAATAACGCTTGGCATTTGTAATACTTAGCCTTTATAACATGCTTTATGTAGAATGTTCAACCCGCTCTGCATAGGTTATCTCTGTTGACTCTAAACAGGCTCCTTTCTCGAAAGGGACAGACTGACGAGCACTTTTGCCTCTTTCCATTCTCCAAAGGCTTGGGACACATGTCCCCCTCGCAGCTTTTGGAGCTTCTGGATCGCGTAGAAGGTGCTATCCGGGACTACTCAGAGGAACTGGTGCAGCAGCTGGCTCATCGGGATGAGCTGGAGTTTGAGAAGGAGGTGAAGAATTCCTTCATCACAGTGCTGATGGAGGTCCAGAACAAGCAGAAAGAGCACAGGGAGCTGATGAAAAGGCGGAGGAAAGAGAAAGGGCTGAGTCTGCAGAGCGGCCGAATAGAAAGGGCAACCCAAATGCCTCTCAAGGTGGGCAAGGGATTTCAAAAGATGGTTTGAAATGTAAAAATTGGGCTTGGCGGTGTATCAGAGATCTCTTGGGGGCTTTTCAGTGCAATATTGCATTGCGTTTATTCAGCAAAAAGCAACTTAAGAATGGTAGGTGGACCTGAGTGAAAGCTGTGCCAAGTCCTCTGTGAATGGTTGCTGTCGGTTGCTTGATGGTCATCTCTTTACAGAATTCACACACAGCGTGATCCTGGCCCTGTCTCCTGGCCAGTGTAGCCTTTGCAAAATTGCTCTAAGCAAAATTCGGATCTATGCAGACACATAATCGCTTATTAGCTCATGGCAGGGATGGTGAGCTGTGTAGTCATTCTGGCTCTTTGGTTTGTTGGAATCCCCGGCCACCACTGAGTAATGAGTTTTACATTATGTAACAGAAGTACATACACAGCCTCTCCCAACAGTTTGAAGCTGCATCCCTATATCTACCTACCTGGGACCAAGTCTCACTGAAATTGGTGAATTTACTTCTGAGTAGGGCTCTCTAGGGCTGTGCTGGAAGACCCAAATGCAACTGTTCTGCCAGGGGCTCAGAACCGCTTTCAACCCAAGAGCAGAATTCCATTTTCAAGAAGGTCTTGGTGAGGGGGGCATATTTCAATTGTGGCTGGGGCAGAAGGTAAAAGGAGGTGAGGCAGGGCCAAAATACCAACAACACCTGCTTATTTTAGCTCTTGGATTGGGCCTTGCTGTCCTTTGCCCTGAAACAGGTGGCTCTGATGGCTTCCGTGTGGGGTGGAGAGGTCCACCAGGTGGCCAAAAGCAGCGGCACATGGAGATGGGCGTTTCCTGCTTGCAGATGCATCTTCCATGCCTCAAAGAGCACCTGGGACTGGACTAAGCTCACTGGGATGTCAGAGACAAGCCACAGTCTTCGTGGCTGTACTGAATTGTTAGGCAGTTGGGCAGGAGAAGCCAGCGATGGAAGGACAAGCCCTAACAGGCTCTGTTGTGTCTTCTGGTAGCGGTTCAGCATGGAAGGGATCTCAAATATCCTGCAGACTGGAATCCGGCAGACATTTGGGAACTCAGCGACGGATAAGCAGGCGAGTGTGAACACATTAAGCCGTGAATACCAGGGGGTGGCAGGGGACCAGTTGCACCGTGGCAAGGGAGTCTCAGAGGGCAGGGAAAGGGGTAGCCCCTTCCCTTGCTTGCTGGCCCTTTCCTGCAGATGGCCAAGCTAGCATGATAGCAATGCAAAGAAGACAGAGGTGAGCGCCCTGCATTTCCCCTGGGAAAGTGTAATTATAGGCTGGTTTTCACAGTGAGCTCAGTTCTTGCCACAAGTAGGGACACAGCCTGTGTGAGCGCCTTTGCTTTTGTTTCAATCGCCCTGATCCTGCACTTGATGAATTGCCTCAAATTGCCCAGAAGTGCAGCTAAGTCATGGTAGCCTCTGGATTTAATGACTTGATGCCCCGTAGCTGGACATGTGCATTACTTCCTGTGCTGGTGCCCCAAAGCCTGGCTCTGATGGCATCACTGTTTGTGCCCATCTTCTTCCTCGCCTCTGCTCCTTAAAACCTCTGCAGAGCAGCTCTTGGCTTTTGCCCCACACCTTGCTTCCATCACGTTACCCAGAATTCCCGGCCGTTCCTCTGTCTAGGCAACTGACCAGGCTCTTGTGAACTTCGCTTCAGCACGGTGGCTGCCCCAGAGCCTTGGAAGCAGTGCCAGGAGGCTGGGTGTCACTGGACTTGGCACTCGCCTCATCGGGCTCCAATCCCCATCAGCCCGAGCCAGCATGGCTAATGCTCAGGAATGGTGGGAACTGTGGTCCAGCAGCACCCGGCAGATCCCCAGTCCCCTTCTGCCTGAAAACACGTCCTGGGGCCAGGACCTGAGATGAGCCCCCTTTTTAGTTTTGTCTGCTCTCTGCCCACCCACACAGGGAGAGTCAGGCAGAGTGAGGCAGCAGGACATCAGCCCCCTTTCCAGTTCCAAGCCTGTGCTATTTGGCCACTGCAGGGGAAAGCACAGCTGACTCACTACGGGGGCAGCAAAAGTCCTCTGGGCCTGGTCATCAGTGCCAAGCGTTGTTCCTTTCTTGCGTCTTTTAAATGAAGACTTGCTCATGGAAGCTGCCTTTCTGGAGCATTTGTGCTTCTCTTTAGTTTGCAACATTGTTCTTTTGAGAACAAGCAAAGTGACTTCCAGAAGCTCATCCTGTTAGGCTATTGCAGCAAAAGCAACCAATAATGACCAAGAAGTTTATTAGGGCATAAAATTCCACTGTGTGTGATGCAAAATCATGGTTTTGAATCCCAAGCAATGTTATTTTATTATTTTCATGTCATTTGTTATATTTATATCCCACTCTTTTTTCCTTCAAGGGACTCAAGGCAGCTTATATAAGCTTCCTCCTCTCTCAAGTTTATTCTCACAATAACCCTGTAAGGTAGATTAGTTTGAGAGCCTGTGAGTTCTGTGGCTGGAGGAGGGCTAGAATCTGGCTCTCCCTGTCCAACACTCTAAGCACCCAAATAATATGAACCCTCTGGCACTTTAGGGTTCGGTCAGTGAATTGTTATGCTTAATCAAGGCTTTAAGAGTCAGTTAAAATGTGCATCTTGATTAACCTGGCACTGTTCAAAGACCTGCTACTGCTGGCTTGATCCTCCATAGTCTCCATAAACACTAGTCCAGTCCTAAATCCTGGCTGCCGACTGGAGGCTGGGCGGCAAGGACCCACTTTTGAAGGGCCCTGTCGGTCAAGACCAAGGCATGCTCATCCAGCGTCCTCAAGTCATCAGTGGCCGGCAGGAAGCCAACTGGAGGGCATCTGGGCACAGCTGGGGCGGTACATCGCCCCTCTATTTGTAGGTGCCGCGTACTTGTACAGGGTAGGCTTGATAAAGTTATCCTGCCTGGATTGTTCTGATGCTGAAAAAAAATCTTTTCTGAGGTCATAAAGAACCCCATTTCTTGGTGGTAAGTGTTATGGTTGAACTATGTGCTGTATCAAGGAGAGCTGTGGAAAGCAGGGCCCAGCTTTGTACCAGTTCAGCCCATTAATGGGATGCTCTAACCCAGTATGGTCTGTTCTCACCACCTGCACCGGCTCAGGGCTCAGTCTCCCACATCAGCTGCGATCATCCCTCTAATTCATATACCGGGGATGGATCTGGGACTTCCTGCATGCCGTGATCCAAGGCCCTTCTGGGAACAGTGTCGGACACTTACAGGAACAGTTCGAGATGCCAGCCATCAGGACTGACAATGCCTATTCAGCATGTTGACAAAAATGGGTAGTATGATTGGCTTTCACCTTTTCTCCGGGGTGAAAGAGGCAGTGGTGGTTGCTTCCGATTTCTGTGCTTCTCTGAAAGAAGGGCAAGGGTGAATAACTGCCCATGTTGTTCCTTTCCAGTATTTGAACACAGTTATTCCGTATGAGAAGAAAGGGGCGCCGCCTTCAGTCGAGGACTTACAGATGCTTACAAACAGTAAGTTCCTGGCCCGCGATGCTGTGTGCACTGGCAACAGAAGTTCTCTTGAAACCCAAGTGGGTGAAATGTTAAAAGACACAGGATCACACCTTCCTCCTCTTTCTTTTTCTTTCAGAAACAGTCATGGAGGCTGTTGGGTTAGGATTGTGGCACTTGGGGAAGGTGGTTACAGCCCTCTCTCCGTGCACTCATTGCCTCATCCAAATCCATTTCCTCATTGATTTGTTATATTTCTATACTGCCCAGCAAAATTCTCTGGGCAGTTCACCAAAATTAAAACCTTCCAGTATGACATGATAAGATATGACACGAAGCCTTTACATTCAAACTTTAGAGCGATCTGAAACAACAAACGGCAATGAACAACTGGCTACCAGGACCCCATAAAACAAGTCACTTAACATGCACATGGTGGGCATGTCATGAGCAGAGCTGGCTGGAGCCAGGGGTCAGACTGGATGGCCCAGGAGGCCCCTTCTGACTCTCTCTGTTTCTATGTTTCTATGCACCTATGCCATCAGATGCCTGGGAACAGAGGAAACCTCTGTTGGAAACCCCCCAGCATTGAGGTTCTCCTCCAGTTGGCTCCACCCCCAGCTTCATATCTAAAAGAAACACGATTCCTTCGTGGCCGTTTGAAAAGAATGGCCATACCAAGTCTTTCCATCCTGCAACATTTTGTGTGATGTGTAAATGCTTCCCTGGGGCAGGCAGGCAGGGCTGAGATGGCGCAGTGTGTCCAGCACAGGCCAAGATCTCTTGAGTCTGTGGAGACAGCAGCAGCTAACATTTTAGAGGGTCGGCGCTACTATAATAAATGGGTGCAGAAAGCATAAGAGAAGGTAAAGATGTGCCCATTGGAGGTATCCTGTTTTAGTTATTTTAATATCTATAAGGCACCGTTCTAGGCCACTTTCAGAACACAATTCTAGCATAGCCATACCATAATAGAATAATAAATCACAGAAATACAAAAAATATACCATTCATTAAAATATCCAGCCATTATAGTATCAATAAAGCTAAATCATGAGCAATAAATGCATGGGTTTTCAAAGAGTTCATGTCCCTAAGGAGAGAATTCATGAATTGAGGGGCTACTGCTGAGAAGGCCTGGCCCCATCTGTGCCTTCCAACTGCACTGAATTCCAAGTGGGCCAATAAATAGAGTCATGAACATGCTCATACCGGTAAAGGTCTTCCTTCAAATAGCACCAGTATGCCTAGTGGGGAAGAATATGCTCAGTTTGAATAGGTACTGGCATGATATTTGGGGATGTTCTGATCGGATTATAAGTTTTGAGACAAACGATGATGGCTCGGATGTTTTGGGAACTTGTCTTTTAACATGCCATCAAAGAATTGGAAGGCACAGAAATTCAGGATAATCTAATCTGTCAATTTTGGTTTCTCTCAGTTTCTCATTTTATCTGGTCTTAGGATTGATTCATTTTGTTTCCAAATCAGTTTGAGCTATTCCCTGGGTTTGATAATTCAGCTATGAGATCTCGGACACACTTCTGTCTCTCGTGTGTGTGTGTGTGTGTGTGTGTGTGTGTGAGAGAGAGAGAGAGAGAGAGAGAGAGAGAGAGAGAGAGAGAGAGAGAGAGAGAACTAGAATGTGGATGTACTTTTACTCACAGGCATCATTAAATTTGGATCCAATGTCAGATTTCTTGGAAAAAAGCAAAAATGAGATATTTTTATAAAGCTAAATTAAGGGTTTGGTGCTATGCAGTGTAACCCTCAGTATATTTACTCAGAGTAAGCCTCTTTGATGTAAAGTGGGGCTTATTCTTTAATAAGTATGACTAGACTTGCAGCTTATAGTAGAATCCTATATATCTCTATGCAAAAGTAAGTTAACTGCATTGAGTTCAGCTGGGGTACTCCCAGTAGACATATATAGAATTGCAGCCATGTTTACCAATGGAATGTTTCCATATGGCTCATCTTCATCGCATAAGAATTATATCTTTACGATTTTTAAATCCACTCCACTGCTTTTGCTCTGACGAAAGAGATACAGGTGTACATTTCAGCTGAATAAATTAAACCTGTCGCACCACTGCAGTGTCCTCAATATGCCCATCTAAGGTGTGCTTAAAAGGGAATAGGACAAGAGCACTCTCTGATAAAATTCAGGATAAACATCAGCCATATGCTAGTTAGATAGTATTATAGAAAGGCCTTGTGGTAAAATGGTAAATTTTCCCTTTCAGTCGAGGCCAGGATTAGGTTCCCTTTTTCAATCTAAAGGCCAAACCGGCTCTGGGCCGCATGCCAGCCCTGGGTGGCCCACATGGAGAAGATGCCAAGGCGCCATGTTGATGCCTGAAATTAGTAGGTATCTCTCTGTGTGTAGCAGTAGCTAATTTTCATGGCAAGTGTTGGAGTGGGCAGCCTTTGGGGGCCAAGGGGCCATTGCTCCTCTCCCGGCTCCAGAACCCGCTGAGGGCTTGCACCCTGGCACTGAGCCGGATCAGCTGCTTGGAGTGGGCACTGGTCTGCAAGCAGCAACTTGTACCCCAAAAGAAGGCCCCGTGGGGCGCACTGCTTTCTTTCAAGCACAATCATGCTTCAGGCCGGCCCTGCATGGGAAAAAGTGCCCCCGCCCACGTCATGCCAATGGGGAGGGATCCCCTGCCTTTCCTCCTGTGGCTGCTGCCGATGTCGCAGTCGTAGCAGCGGGCTGCAGGTCCTCCATGAGCCACGTGTCACTTACCCCAGCGTAAATAATAGCATGCCTGTCAAAATGCTGGCCTGGCACCCGGATATGTAGCCAAACGGTGTGAAGGACAGAAGCGAAGAGACTCTTGCCCTCGCCTTAAGTGGCCTCTTCCACTGGTACTGCTACTCTGCTCGTATAAATAGCTGCATTTTCCTGCTGTTAAATCCAGAGCTGACGCTCGTTAAGCCTTCTTTTATTTGAACAGACGGGGTTTCTGTCTCCATCACAACACCTTTAAAAATATTTGAAAACAGCAAGTCCCTTGTATGTTTGCCACAAGCCCCATATTGGGAACAAAAACTCTTAATAGAGAGTGCAGATCCTTGTTTGTGTCAACCTGGTTTTGAATTCTATTCCCACAGGTTCAGAAGAAAAAGTACAGCAGCCTTCCCAAACCTGGTGCCTATCAGAGGTGTTAGGCTATAGCTCCCATCTTCCTTAGCTGTGCAATGAGGATGATGGGAGCTGGAACTCAATTCCACTTGGGCTGCCAGGTTTGGGGAGTCTGCCCCATAAAACCTGCACACAAGAAGGCAAGTAGGGTATCGCTAATGAAGATACGCATCCCAATTAATCCCACAGACTTGCTCTTCTATGCATTGAACACAAATGCCCACAGAGGGATGGGCTGTAAGAGGATTCAGCCAAAAGTGCCTGCAAGTGGAGTCTCCCACCTGTGGGAGGGCTTCCAAGTACATTCACTGATTGGGCGAAATGTCTCCCATCTCCCTGCATGGTGTGGGCCCAGGTGTCAGAGGCACCCTTTGGTCCAGGGATGCTGGGGCAGAGCTGGTGGGCACGCCTGTGCCCCTGCACCCTTTCAGTCCTCAGGCACGTAGGCTGTGGACCTGCCTAGGGCTTCCTTCATGACCTCCATTCATCACCAGGGATGAACAGAGAGAAGATCCCCCCACCCTGTCCTGGGCCCCATCCCTTCTGCTTGCCCAGCACAACTTGTGAGGAAGAAACTAGACGTGGCCAGTGGGGTAGTGGCAAATTTCGACACGCAGATGCTCATCACAACAGCCCATCGTTACACCCGAGGAGGGCCTGGAATGTTAGGCGCCCAGGCTGATCCATATCAGCAAGCCCATTTTAGTAGACTTCCTCTCTCCCAGGGGCAGGTCTTTTGTTATGCTAATGTGTCTGGACAGCCCATTCAAGACCAGGCCAGCCCAAAATACTTTGCAGGATCCCACTGATAGTTCCCAGCTGTAGCTGGTGGGAGAACCTCCTCCACCAGGCTCCTGTGAGGACTGCAGTGGAACTCAGTGGGAGCGGGGAGGGTGGGGTGTGGCAGATGGTGTCCCCATCCCTGCCGGCATTTCCTCCTGGCAAGCCCTGGCTCCATTGCACCACTGGACGTGGCTTCAAGCCCGGGTGTTTACCCAATGAAGCCGCAGGGAGATCCAATCTGGATTAAGTCTGTGATTTGGGCAGAAAGGGAATTTACCCTTTGGTCTCTATCTGGATGTTGCCATTCACTTTGGAAGGAAAATTACCATGAGTTGAAGTATCTGCAGCTACACGCAGTACATTGCATAGAGGAGGGAATCTAGCCTGAGTCTCCGTGCTTTATAGTGGGTGGAAGCAGCTCACGTCGGGCCCAAGTAGGGGAAAGCGTAGCTTCTCCGAAACGAGTATCATTGAGAAGCATGTTTGTTTCGATTTTTAAATCTTCCTGTATATGTATTTTAAATATTATACACACACATATAAGTATGTATATGCATGTGTATATATGTGTGTGTGTATAAATATTATACATCGATATATATGTATATACATGTATGTATATGTATGTATGCTGGGGAGGAGGGAGCGAGAGCGAGAGCCAGAACCATTTCATCTTCTGCATTTATCTAGGATCAAATCATTGTACCTCCTTTTGTTTTTTCTGCTGCTCAATATTCAAGTTCCTGCCCTAAAATAGGCAGAAAGAAACAGCGTATTCTTAAATAGTTTGCAACTTCAAAAGCTGTTTCATAAACATCCAAGTTGTCTGGGTAGAGGATTTTGCCTCTAACTCTGAGTGAACAATTTCTGGAACCGAAATGGAAAGGTTGCGATGTTGTGACAGGCCTTGGTGCATTCTGGGAGAATCATCCATCTCCTTTTGGGTCTCCATGGCAACTGTTTTGAACTGAGTGGAACAAACACTGTCTTAGTTCTCTTGAAAAGAGTGGAGTGCTCTGAATGGCTGTTTTATGCACAGAGCGAGTTTTGTGCAAGTGACAATTTGTGTCCAGAGGCGAAGCCTTGGCAAAGAGGTTACCGGGGATAAATTTGTTTTTTTCTAATTAACTGGTGTGCAACACTGCATTGGACTGTGATGCAAATATATCGTCTAAGATATATTTAGACGAGATCTGTCACTGAGCTGGAAGAAATGGCAGTGAATAAAATTCGGAGACTAACCAACCCCTCAAAATACAGGCCCCTGAACTGTTGCTATTCAAGTGGTCACCAACAGAGCATAAAGTAATATAACTAATATCTGACTCACATGTCTTGCTTCCCCACATTCTGCACAGGGGTAGATGCATCTATTTCTGAACGATCACATTTTTGCAGGTTTTTACCACAATTCTTCTTTTTCAAATTGCATTAATTATATACTGAAATCCATGTTTAGATGAAAAATACATATTTAAATATGCATCCCCCCCTCAAAACTGGTGCTGCAGCCAGGTCATTTCAGCCCTGAATGCAGCGGTCCTGCAGAGCCCCCCCCTCCCCCAAATGTCTTGCTAAATCGCTTCAGTCACGAAGCAAACAACTCCCATTTCTCTGCTCCCTTCTCCAGTTGCTTTACAGCTGTTTTCACTTTCCTGACATGTGAGAGCAAGAGCACACAGCAAAAATAGCTCGTCAACCTTTGCATTCAACACCATTTTGGGTACGCATGCATAGGACTGTGCAGTAAAAGCTGTGGAAGATGTTCTGTGGATGCTGCCCAGAGAGCATTCCACAGTGAGGCCCAGGAAAAGGCTCTTTCGCTGGAAACCATGAGCCAAAGCTCAGGAGGGCCTCCTGGGGACCGCCGCTGATGATCACGGTGCATGGGAAGCTTGCAACGGGAGCAGGTGGCTCGTCGGAGTGCTGTGCTAATGACCTCCCCCCAACTTCTCTCCTCAGTTCTCTTTGCAATGAAGGAGGACAACGAAAAGGTCCCTACGTTGCTAACTGACTACATTTTAAAAGGTAACTACCAATAGGAAGCTTCTTCGAATGAACCAGAACGGTTGTCCATCAAGTCCTGCATTGTCTGCTACAGGGAGGGGGAAACAAGACGGCTGCGGGTCGTGTGGGGCTTCCGCCAATATTTTTATGACCACAGGTGGCACCTGTAGCTGCTGTAGAGACGCACAGCTGACTTTTATCCTTTTGACTACAGCTGCTGTAGCGTACGAAGAGGTCAAAATTGGCTTGCAAACTCGCTAGTTTTGAGCCTTTGTGCACGCTGTAGCAGCTGCAGATGCCAGTTTATTATAATTATCACATTCCTCCCATTTCAACACCAGTGGGCAGTATGTTGTATAAGTGGCCAAAATGCCCCCTGGACCTCCCAGAGTTGGCCATCTTGGTATACTTTGACTAGAGATGTGCAAATCTATCAGGTTCAATATCTCTGCTTCCCATTTTCCAGGCTTCCATTTCATTCATTCTGCTTCCACCTCATTTTAAGATGTTTTTGAAAGAAAAGATTTCCACAAAACTGTGTGCACATTTTTCTGTACATTGTCCACACAGGAGCTTTTGCTTCAGAGCCTGAGCTGGCCCCCAAAGAGACAGATCCACATTGCACAGGTTTTTTGCATTTTGTACGGACTACATTCTGGTTCTGCAATTTCCCAGGGTATTCTGGGCATATGAATTATCATCTCTGTAAGCCCCACCCTTCTGCATCCTGAGCCTGATTTCTTACCTTTGCAACTCATTTGAACAAATACACTTGCCTGCAAATCAAGCAAAAGTAGCTTCTGACATTTAAAAAGTAATCAGAGTGATGCATGTACATATATTCAGTAAAATGTACACTTGTGTCTTCTGCCTTCCTCTTTTCGAAAGCAAACAAACAAAGAAGCAATGAAAGAAGGAGGATCAGTTTTTTAAATGCCAAACCCGCCTTCTGGAGGAAGGGGAGTGAGTGAGCGCTTTGGCCCACGGCACTCTGCCTGTCAGCTTCTGCTCCAGACAGAAAGAGCTGCTTCACCCTGTTGTTTTCAGGGAGGAGATTGTACACCTGGTCACCATCAGATTAGACAGTGCGCTTGTACAGCGGGCTCATTCCTAAAATTAGGCAAGCCTGGCATCGCCCTCAGTGGAACTGATGAAAAAGAGCAGCTGGCAGGCACCTTGAGCGGCGAACTAGCTCAGCTGAGCCGGACAGAACCGCCACTTCACCAGGGCCTCCGCATCACTGGAACAGCTGATTTCTAGGGAGGGGAGATCTCTAGCCGGCCGGTGAGCTTTGGATTGCCAGGCGGATCTCAGTGCTGCAATGAGCCACAGGCAGTTTGGAGGCACCCCCTGCATTTCCAACAATGCCCCGGAGCAATGGTATATCGGGCATGGAAAGCAGCTGAGAGGACAGATCCCAGACATGCCTGCCCAGCCTGGCTGCCTTAGCACAGCGGTGGACTCTGCCCAAGAGGTTGCTCTGAAGAACCTGGTTCGCTTGCACGGCTGTATGTGCAACACACACACTCAGGTGCCGGTGCACACCCACACGGACACCTTCTAGCCCAGAACATTGGCCAGCGTGGCAAAGTTAGCAACCGTGCCATACTGGCCGGCCAGGAAGGTTTCTGAAGGATGCTGGATACCAGTTAGTGGCATATGCTAGCATTCTGCTCAGCTATGAACACGTATGTCTGCAATTACCTGAAACTTCCCCACCCTAAATTGTCTTGTTTCCCCTGCCCTTTTTCTTCCAGTTCTCTGTCCTACCTAAGCTCCAGGCTCCGAAGATCATGAAAACCAACAGGAGACAACAAGGCCAGTGTGTCATTCCATCACAGGGACTGCATGACATAATGTAAACTTTTGAATTGTGTATTTAAAGATGTATAGCATTAACCTGGATTAAACATGAGCAAAACTCTTTCCTTTTGCTGTCGATTTCTAGTTGTAGTAAACATTTGAATGCATGAGTGAAGGTTTGGGCTGCTATTTTCTCTCTCTCTCAACCACCTCCATCTTTGAGGAGGCAGTACTTCACCGTACACCATGTATTCTCAAGCCCATCTTCCCCCAAGCAGCTATGAGACTAATTTGAATACTGAAATAAACTTTCATTTAATTAAAAAGTTGTCACACTTCTTGCAGAATGATCTGTTGCTAGAAGGGGAAGACGGGAGACAGAAAAAAGCCTGCATTTCTGAGCTGTGTAATACCCCAGAGAAAGAAAGAATTTAATTTAATCTTTGGATAGGAAGATGTTTGATTTCAGAAATACTTTGGTAGATCTTGAAGGTGATTTACTATGTGCCATGCAGAAAAATAGGATAGGTTTTAGAACCCTCAGTGAGAAGAGGGAAGAAATCAAATATCTAATTGATAGAAAGCTAGACAAAGAGGGGTGGGGGTGTCATAAAAATCTTTTCATGCCTGAAATGTGTTTATCATTTGAATACATTACCCCCATCTCAGTAGGGCAGATTAGTTTTAGATGGAACAAGCGCCCTCCCTTTCTAAGCCCATAAAGCAGAGAAGTTAGTGATAATGTAGAACTGAGTAAGACATTACCATAGCATGTTGTTTGTGAGGGAGGAGGACAATATCCAGGAAAAAAACCCTAGAAACAGATTCCACTGAAATTCCATTTTGGCAGGTGGGTGAGGAAACGGGACTAGAGACGTGAGGCAACCTCATACTCATGTCCATCTCAGGGCTGATGCACAAAACAGGCTTGGTGTGTTCAGTTGTAGGTACCATGCACTGGATGGTTTTGAGATGGATCACATTGATTGGGGCTCTGCTTGTAGCCACTGCATTTTGTTGTGCCGCTGTGAGTCCCCTGTTGAATGCTTTGCCTTGCTCTCGGAATCACGGAGCCGGGAAGTAGTGTGGGTTCCTGGCTAGAACATCAGCCTTGGCGCCGGAGATGACCATGTCCAAAGCTGCTCCTCAGGCCTTGGGCAAGCTGACATCTCTCGGTACAGGAGTCCTGTGAGGATAAAACTGCCCTGATGAACTATTTGGCGGAAGGTCCCAGGGGAAGAAATGCAAATATACAGTTGTATAATCTGAGATATTGTCTGAGGACCTGCAGAAGCAATTGCACAGTGCTGACACTGTGCAGCCAGGTAAACGCAGATGAGGCCAACCCATACTTTGCTCATGTGAATTGGCTGTTTGTGTCACTCTAAATCAAACGCACATGCATCTGTGTGTCTGATGCAAAAGCTGGACATGGGCCAAATATAGGTTGATGCTTTCATCACACCATCTGAGTACCCAGATGAAAACAGAAGTGTGCATTTTTCCCTATATAATCAACTGGACTTTCCAAATTCTTGTTCTCCTTTGCATGCAGACATCTCATGAACAACATGCTGCTATTATCAGCAAGACTGAAATCCCTTTTCTGTGGGATACGACTCTAGGACCAAGGTGCAATGACCCATATTTATGGATCCTCAGACGTTTCTCATTAGGTGCTAGTTTGTCCTAGCAACTTGTTCTTCCAAGAATCAATGGCAAAACCAAGTTGGCTTCCAACTGGACTTATTTCTGCTCGCTGGGCTCAGTAATTGGTAGGCTATGGGGTACTTCTGTGTGCATAAAAGATGCTGCTGTAAGAAATCACCCTGGAGAGGCAAGGAACTAAGATAGCATTTCCCAACTTGGTGCTCTCCTGGTCTACAATTCCCAACAGCAGTGTCTGCTGATTGTGGGATTCAGGGGATTGGAAGGTATCTGGAGGGCATCTAGTTGGAGAAAATTCATCAAGGTGTCATAAAAGGCAGGCAGACAGGCAGGCAGGCAGGCAGGCTGCCCCCCTGCTCCTAATCATCAATATAATTTTGCTAAATGGCATTAAATTTAACAACAAGCATCTTTTTAATTCGCTCATGCAGTGGTGGCTGCCCTTTGCTAGAGGTATTTAAGTCTGCAGGTGGTCATCTCTTGCTGCATTACAGCTTTTCCATTGGGCAGAAGGAGGGCCGTGTCCTCCAGTGTAGCTATAGCTCTGTGATTTTATGACTTTGGCTCAGTGCATGCTGTCCCCTGAAAAGAATGCAGCTGAGCACATGCTTGTAGTTTCAATGCAATGCAGATGATTCCCAGTGCTAAGCAGTCATATTTGCAGTGCCGAATGGATTTAGATGGCGTTCAAGAGCTTCTAGACACAAATAAAGTGGCTCATTTGCTGAGGAAGAATGGAAAGGAACAGCTTTTTGATGAACAACAATTTCCCACCCAGTGGCCTGTGTGTGAACAGCTGCTGAATTCAGGCAATTTTGTGATTAAAGCTTGGTTTATATATTTGGCAAAGTCAAGCCGCGAAAGTGCAAGTCTATGCAGGTTTGGATAGGAAAAAAGTTCAACAACTCCGGGCGTTTCCTGGCATTCCCCAGCATGGCTGGCTGGGGAATGCTGGGAGCTCTAAATCTGCATGGGTTATACCTTAAGGCTGTTCCAGAGCTGCATTCAGGCTGAAAGTGTGACTGGGGCTGCGAGGGGCATTGTTAAATACTCTCTCATTAAAACAACAAAGCCCTGTGCATATAGAACTCATCAAGGCCAGGAATCAGGCCAGACTGTTTCTCTAGGAACACTAAGGAACACAACTGACATGGGGTCACCAAGTATCTCCTGTCTGCTCCATGGGATAAGAATCAGCTGTTATCAGCATCCCAACGAACTCTGAGGCCTTCAAACAAGCATTCAATAAGCTCTCTGCCTACCATTCTGCAGTTTTGACAGTCCAGGAGAAGATGTGATGCCATTGTTTTAGGCACGGCACCCAATTCAGTTGTGTAAAACAAAGCTGAGGAACTTCTGTCCCTCCAGATACTATGGGACTTCAACACCCATCAGCTCTAGCCAGCAGAGCTGCAGTTCAACAACACCTGGAATGCTCCAATTGACCCACTTGGCTACATTGTGGAGGACTTCAGATGAGATCCTTCAAGCACGCAGTCTCCCCTGGGAGGCCGAGGGCTCCTATGTTAGTGGGGCTGTCCCTCCACTGCAGCTTTTCTTTCAGCTTTGGAGGAGCCATCCATGGGGGTGAACCTGTTTTGGGATGAGGTCTGTGCCACAGACAGCTCCGCCAAAGCACAGAAGCATGACTGACAGAGGACCCTCCCATCCTCAACACAAACCGACTCTGTTGAACTTCTGTTGCAAGGCTGAGGAGACGCATTAGCAATCAAGGAGTGGCAAGGGCGAGATGTGGGAGAAAGGAGATGCAGAGCAATGGCAGCTGGGAACCATGGTGGTGGCTCACGGGGGGAAGGGGACACCTCCCTTTCCAAGGCGCTCAGACATTTAGAGCTGGCTCTGATGGCGCTGCATTGCAAAGCAGTGCCTGTCTCCTCACTTCAGGCCTGGAGGGAAGCACACTATGACAGCACCCGTAATGTCAGGCAGCTGTGGCTCAACATGGAACCGGAGCAACCAGAGTGGTCCCACGATTCTTACATATTACATCACTTTATATCGAATCATCACTGTCATCATCGTCATTATTGTCATCTTCATCATCATTGTCGTCGTCCCCTTCATCATCATCATTTTTTCATTTCTATACCACCCCGCATCTGGCCTGTGCCCCTTGCATTCCTTCCCTTACATGGAAGTCCAAGGAAAACTCCACTGGCTCTGAGAGTTCCCCCTTTAAGTGGTCTCACATGTGTGTGTTTTCAAGGGTGACTTTAAGGCGGAAAAACAGCTTCATGGAGAAGTTTAATTCACTACCACCTCTGTGCCTGGTTGGCCTGATCTGGATCAGGGCTCATGCATGTATAGGAAATTGGAGAGCAGTTCTGGTCAGCAGCACACTGCATTTGAAAGAGCAAGCAGGTGACTGAATGGCAAAACAGAGAGGCACGCATCTCCTTTCTGTACTAGCTGTGAGCAATATTCACTCTCCAGTGGTTGCTGGGCCGTCACTTCCATCAGTGCCGCCCAGTGCAGTCAGTGCCGAGAGATGATTGGAGCTTCAGTCCAGCAAACACTTGGAATCATAGAATTGAAGAGTTGGAAGGGGCCATGAAGGCCATCGAGTCCAACCTCCTGCTGTTGCAGGATGCCATGTAACATCATCCCACCCAGAAAGCAGTTCAAAATCTTCACTGTCAAAATCTTCCAACATTGAGAAGGCTTTCCCCAGGTATGGGCATAAGCTTTCCCATGAAGGAAGATACCGGATGACATAGGAAGTTGCCTGGTACTATGTCAGCCCTTGTTCCATTCAACCTGGGATATCACAGAATATCCTTTCCTCACCCTGGCTGGAGATGCAGCGGACTGAAGTGGTGGCCTCCTGCATGCGACTGGCCATGGCTGCTCCCCCACTGCTCTGCCTTCTCCGCTGCAGTGGCTCAGGAGCCAAGAGCAGCTGCTTGCTGGCCGCTTTCTCACTGAGCTCAGAGCTTCATTTTATTTTCAGCCAATGAGGTGGTGAAGCTTTCTTGGGAATGCACCGCTCTGAGACCCAGGTGGTAGGTCTTCCATGTTTGACTGCCTCCTGATTTATTTCTAATTCCCTGAACACAGAAAATAGCAGGCCAGAAAGTGAAGCTGAAACTTCCTGGCATATTAGTTTGTCTGCCTGCAAAGCACTTCTGGATGCAGGGATCCGTCACTGAGGGTGGCTTATTGCCAGGATCTCACACCTCTGCTGAAGGAGCTGCACTGACTGCCTATATGCTGTTGAGCCCGGATTAAGTGCTTAGTATTCATACAGTACCCTAAACAACTCAGAACTGGGTTACTTAAGAGATCCTGTGATACCATAATGGCCTGCTCAGTTGTTATGTGCATCAAAGGATACTATCCAGGTGGTATCCTAAATTTCAAATGTTTGGTCCTCATGGTTTGGAATAGGGCCTTTAGTGTTGTGGCACCAGTTCTCTGGAGCTTGCTAGCACTATGAATTTGGCAGGGTCCAACCTTTCTGGCCTTTTAGAGCGTACTATAAATTAGCATTTACTAAAAAGACCTTTCCCAACAGTGCTTCCCAAGAATATAACCTTGGCCCTGGTTTGAAGACTTGTTTTGATACTTTGCTTACAAGTATCTTCAATTAGGT